AACCTGACATGTATCACTGAAACTTCGCTGGGTGGGGGGGGGGGTAGCTCTCTCAGAGTTATCCCCAGCCAGGTTTGAAGTGTGGCATCAGCCGAGATCCTGCGGAAGGAGTGGAGGTGTGGTGATTGTCATCCAGGAAACTCTAATGGCTTTCAGGGGTGCTGCACCACAGGTCACTGGATGTGAGACCCTGTTCATTAAGTTGGGCTCCAGGGATCAGTTGGGTTTGCTGCTGTTGTACCAGCCTCCCTGCTGCACAGCAAGTTCCCTGCCTGAGCTTCTTGACGCCATTTCTGGGTTGGCAGTGGAGTTCCCCAGACTTATGGTCTTGGGGGACTTCAATCTGCCTTCTGTAGGGATGGGGTCCAAAGTAGTTTGGGAGTTCATGGCCACTATCATGGCCATGGGCCTATCCCAAATAATCCAGAGCCCGACACAGGACAACAGCCATACACCTGATCTGGTGTTCCTGTTGGAGCAGAGGCTATGTGATCTGAAATTGGGGCAGCTTTTGGTGTCCTCCTTGTCATGGTCAGATCATGCCTTGATTACAATGGGATTCTCTAGCGCCACTATCTACTGCAAGGAGGCTGGACTCATTAGATTGGTCTGCCCTGGCAACTAATGGACCTGGATGGGTTCCAGAGGGAGCTGGGAGTTGTTCCTGCTGGTCTGTGGCATGGTCCATCCTAAGCCTTGGTCACCGCTTGAAATAAGGGGGCAGCTGAGGTTTTGGATCAGATTGCACCCATGCAACCTCTCTCCTCTCAGGGATCCCGGAACTCTCCATGGTTTACAGAAGAGCTGAAGGAGAGGAAGCGAGAGAAGAGATGCCTAGAGCATTGCTGGAGCTCATCAAGGGACGAACTTGACCAACATGGGTTAGGGCTGTTATTAAGGCCTACCTAGTGGCAATAAGGGTGGCGAAGCATCATTACTCCTCCACTCTTATTGCGTCCACAGATAGCCACCCCACGGCCCTGTTTTGGGTGATACAAGCCCTCCGGGTAAGGATGGCTCAGAGAATCTTCTGCAGGGGCATGCAGAGGAATTTTCCCAGCATCTGTCAGATAAAATCGCTTGGATTTGTTCTCAGTTGGATGTTGGCTTTGTTGCAGGTCCGGTAGAGATGCCTAGGGAGGAGTCTTGCCCTGTTATCTGGGAATGGTTTGAACCTGTTGGACCTGAGGAAGTGGACAGGGCTGTGATCTCTTTAGATCCATGCCCCTCCTAGCTGATTAAAACAGCCTGGGGGGGGAGGGGGTTGTGTGACTGGGTTCTAGCGATGGTTAATGCTTCCTTGAGTGAGGGGGTTGTTCCTTTGCCTCTTAAGGAGGCTTTGGTTTCCCCCCTCCTCAAGAAGCCATCACTGGACCCCACTACACTGGACAATTTCCATCCAGTATCTAGCCTCCCCTTTTGGGGGAAGTTGATTGAGAAGGTGGTTGCAGGGCAGCTTCAGAGGACTTTGGAGATGTGGATTATCTGGATCCCTTTCAGTCAGGATTTAGGCTTGGGTATGGGATGGAAACAGCATTGGTCGCACTTTTGGATGATCTCTGATGAAGGCAGGACGGGGGTTGTGCATCCATCCTTGCCCTACTTGATCTCTCTGTGGCTTTCAATACCATCGTTCATGTATCATTCTGGATCAGCTCAGAAGATTGGGGGTGGGTGCCAGTGTTGTGCTGGTTCACCTGCTTCCTCCGGGGCCAATTCCAGTCAGTGGTGGTAGGGGAGGAGAGATCCCACCCTTGGCCCCTATTATGTGGGGTGCCACAGGGTTCGGTATTCTCTCCCCTCCTATTTAACATCTACGTGAGGCTGCTGGGTGAGCATATCCATCGCCATGGGGTGAGGTATCATCAGTATGCTGATACCCAATTATACATCTCTGCCCCTGGAGAATTAAGCAATGCTGTGAATGTCTTATCCGGGTGCCTGGAGGTTGTGAGGGTCTAGATGGGGAACAATAGGCTTCAGCTGAACCCTGGCAAGACTGAGTGGCTTTGGGTTTTGGGGCCTTCTGGTTCTGGGACTATGCCATCTTTGGTGCTGGATGGGTGGAACTTCCTCAGACAGATCCTGGGCACAATCTGGGGGTCCTCCTGGACTCACAACTCCTGTGCAAAGAGCAGGTTACTAGGAGGGCCTTTGCACAGCTTCGTATTGTGTGCCAGTTGTGTCCGTTCTTAGATCAGGGGGCTCAGCTCACTGTCAGTCATGCCCTAGTCATCTCCTGTTTGGATTTCTGTGATGCGCTCTACATGGGGCTGCCCTTGAAGAGTATCTGGAAGCTTTAGCTGGTGCAAAATGCAGTGGTGTGGGCAGTTATATGTGCCCCTAGAGTGGTACACATTACACCTCTGCTCTGTGAGCTGCATTGGTTGCCGGTTTGCTTCCGGGTCCAATTCAGGATGTTGTTTTTGACCTTTAAAGCCCTTCATGGCATAGGGCCAGGTTATCTGAGGGACTACCTCTCCCACATCTGCTTGCCCCCTCAGGTCTGACAGAGAAGACATGCTGCGGGACCCACCTACCAGGGAGTTCCATTTGGTGGATCCCAGGTGGCAGGCCTTCTCTGCCGTGGCACCCGCCTTGGGGAATCTTCTCTCCCCAAAAGTGAGATTAGCTCCATCCCTCTTAATATTCTGCAAGTTCCTCAAGACCTGGCTATGTGATCAGGCCTGGGGATCCCAGGGGACCAGGGAGATTTTGCAATGGCTCCCTTATTGTGGTTAATATTATCCTCTCTGTATTTATTGTTTTTAATTAAGTGCTGTACGATGCCCAGAGTCATTTTTATGTGAGATGGGTGGCTATATAAATATGATAAATATAAATAAATAAATAAATAAAATAAAATAAAATAAAATAAAA